CTTCAAACTTTTGCTGAGGAAGAAGACGAGGATGATCTTAACACTACTGCCCTCTGCTGCAAAAAAAAAAAAAAAAACAAACCACCAAAAAAGGGAAAAAAATGCATTGCTAACCATGTGTGTCCAGGGATCTTAAGCAAGGATTTAAACAGTCAAAATTAAAGTAGCCTGCTTCCCAATAATTGAAATAAAACAATTCTTACAGCAGTATATATATATATTTCCCCTGTTCAGAATAAGATATCATTGAAAATATTAATACTAGTTTAATTAATTTATTACCAGCAGTATCTGTTCTACTGAGAATTTTAAAAAAACCCTGAGCATCTGTTCTAAAGAGAATTAAAACAGCTTATTTTGCTATCAAATAGCATGTGCGCATTAAATTCCACAGAAGCAGACTGAAAAAATGAATATCAATTGTGGTATTATTATTTATATCCTACAAATTATGCTGGGAATTAGTGATTAAGTTGGGTCTTAATATGATAAAAATCTAATATTTAATGCTGTTATTACAAATTAAGAGCTATATGAATACCCTTTGTAAATCAACGCTGAGGGGGAAGGACACTGTCACTAGTTTTTAATAGTGGGTTGGTTTAAAACTTTCCCATAGACAATTGGATTTCTAAATTTCTTTCAGAAATAAGCAAATTTATCTTCCAGCTTAAGCTAATCCAAAATAACAGCCACTAAAGTATATTATGAATCAACTGGCGGACGAATTAGACAGCTTTTTTAAACATTTGGAGCCTCTTCTCTGCCCCTTCCATTCTTCAGACCAAGATATACAGCTGGTTCCTCACTTGCAATTATAACAAACAGATACGTGGGATACTCCAGATACCTTTGCAAGGTCACGTTTCCTTCTGGATCACTGTAACATGCGGTCACGTGTATGGTATGACACAATGAGATGGTCCACACACTACAGTATTCACCACGTGATGCGTACCAGAGGTGGGTCTGAGCTGGACACTAGATTCATTATCGCATTCCCCCTAACTTACACATATAATCTTCTTGCATTTACCCTCCAAGCCTTTCAGTGCCTGAATCCCGTTGATATTCTCCACCAACACCCTGTTGGGTCTACCAAGGACATTAGCTCTGACCTTGGATGCATCTCCATCTCCTCCTCCTCCCCTGAATCAATTTCTGCCTTCCCCCAGGCTGCTAGTTATGTCGGGGTCGTCCTTCTGTTTGCCGGGCTACCTTGCCAATCTCATTCCACTATGCCTAAAACTTACAGCTGCTACTACTTACAGTAGTTTCTTCTTTGCTAAACTCATAAGAAGCTGTATAGTTTCCTCAAAATCCTGCTAACTCTTCTAGATGCTATTAACAGGCATAGCCACTTCAGAAAAAGAAGTGATCAATTCATTACTGTTTCCACTTCAAAAACAGTGTAACAAACTATCTGCTCAGTTGGAATAAATACAGTCACAGTCTGTCTTTTAAACAGCATTATTATTAGTATTAGTAATAGTAGTTGTTGCTGTTATTCCTGTCATCATCATCATCATGTTAGAAAAATAAAGTAATTAGCCGAGTCATTTTGTCTGGTGTCACATAAAACATTTCGCCCCTTGGAGAACTGGTGGGTGAACCAAGAGAGCAGGCTAAAAAGTGAAGGAGCGCTGAAATGGTACTTCTCCGCTTTCACACAGCATTCAGGTTTCTGAATGCCATGACCTTATCTTCACGCATCTTGCATAAGATGCATGCATTTGATACCTTTTGGGACCTCTGGAAAACCCTGAAGCTTAAAGAAAGGAAGAAGGGGATGGAGTAAAGGGACGCGGGTGGGTAATCCGGGAAAGAAAGAGACAACGAGGAAACTTCTGGTAACCCACAATCATTGCCAAGTACAAAAAACTCCCATTGGTCTAATGGCTTAAACTCTTAGTTAATATAAAGTCTAATTATTTTTGCAGTTTGGTGTTTTTATTAAACGTGCACGGACATATGAAACTTCCAGCTAATAGAACACATGTGTAGGTAGAGAGCTCTTTCTGGCATGATTTCTTTAGTTCCGTGGACAGCAATGCCAGAAAAACAAGATCTAAATTCAATACAACTACCAGGACAGAACATTCAAAGGGGGACGGGGGAGGGAGAGAGAGGGGGAAACAGCTGGCAACGCTATGCTGAACCATCTAGTATTACCAGGCTTTACAAGACTGGAAATATAGCTATCAGCTTGGAAAATTTTGACAGATAACATTTCCCCGATAGAGCTGAATGGCAGATTTCAGCTACCTTTTGTTTCAGTTTTTATCGACTTACCGCAGTTCTGTCCTTCACACCCTAGGCTGCCCATGGCTGACAATTGAGGGGTGCGGGAGCTGTACAAAATCTGCTCAGAACGGGAAGGCCAGCAAACATTTGGGAGCATCCTTCAACTAACAGGTGGAATACGGAAGCATGAGATTAATTGTCAACTAGAATTGCTAGCAGTCAAAAGTAAGAGCTGCTGACATTTAGGTAAACTAAGAATATTTGGTCTCTGCACAAAAGAAACTGAGTAATTATTACTTTACTGAGAGCCTTCAAGTCCCTTGGTAAAGTGAATTAAAGCTCAAAAATGAGAGAAAAAAAGTCATTTCCCTATGAGGTGAAAGCCAATTACGAACACACAGCAAGTCACTGATCTGAGCAGTGCTCCAGCTACCAAGAACGCGCCACTAAACACTGCATCTTTTTCTTCAGACTGTATTGCCTATGTTCAAGCCTTTAAATAATGACTTTTTAGGGGAAAAAGACTGAAGATTCTGTCTGCTTCGGAAATGAAGGTTGTTAAGGAGCACAGTGTAAAATCGACAACGCTAAACAAATCCTTCCCTCGGCTGCCATTCTCTCCATCGAGCAAAAAACAGAAATCCAATCCTGATGGATTCCACAATCGAAATAATGAAGTAACAATATGCATGGAAATCAGTGTCATGACAACTTAATTAAGAATGAAGCTAACGTCACCCCCACAAGCTCTTGCTCCCTTGCTTCCACTCCCCAAATGACTGGAAAATACAGAGTAGCTAACTACATCTTAAAGAATATAAAAGTTACTGAACCCTGTTGCCGAGGGGAAGGTGCTTGCTTTGGCGCAGGAGCCGCGACAATTCTGGCTGGCGGTTTACTTAGCATAGCAGTTGCTTCTGTGAAGTCAAAAGCAAGTGTGCATGAAGGAAACAGCTCAAAAAGCATAACACCATTTGCTTTGCGTCTTGTTCCATATGAGAAAAATGGAGTTTGAAAAGCAGGGTCAGCGGGAATCTGCAATATTGTAATTTGTCACTCTCAACTAACACTGGCAAGAAAACAGGACAGGAAAAAAAAGGGGGGGGGAGTGAAACTTTTTGTGGCTGTTTTTAGGCAGAAATTCTCCAACTCTTCATAGATCCAACCCATACCCAGTGATGTTCTACACTGGTAATAGCTAAAATGCCCAAATGAACTGATTTAATAAAAGAAAAACTAACCGAACCAGATTTTCCTTCCCTTCACTTATAATTCCGTGGGAGGGACTGGCACGTATATATAAAAATCTGAAATCTCTCTTTTCTTTATACCCTGAGTTGGCGTGTACTCCTGAGCCATTTATGAGACCTATAAAATTACATTTTTGAATTTTTCAGTGCTGGAAATTCATACTTACATCACAACTTTTTATTCCAGCATAGGAAACAGCAGGATGAGATAAATGTTCCTATTTTCTGAATGACATCACTTGACCATGTATAACATAGGTACCACCAGCAAAATGGGATCAACCATATATTTTTACTTAAGCTCTACCAGATATCATATAAAACCACATTTTATAGAGGGGGAAAAAAATTATACCAGGCTTGCAATACCAAAAATAATAGTAAATAATCTGTTTCTACCAGTCCGAGAGAAATAAAAGTCCAGTGTTAAGCACGTACAATCATCTAATAAGAATTTACTTAGAAAGCAGCTCATGGCGGGCAGAAGAAACAGAGGGAGACAGACAGAGCACTGTAAAATATGTACTAACACTTCACTTGAGAAAAAACCATATTATCTTTGTTCCAGTCACAATAGTACTAAACAATAAACTTTCTGTTAAAAATCTAACCAATATTTTCTAGAGAAAATATTTTTTTAAAATAGAAATGTTAGGTTGTTTCCGCTTTCCCACAGGTGTGGCCGAAAGACCAGAGCGCCAACAGCCCCCTTCCAAATGCTCAATTAATTGACTCATGTTTTCTCAACTTTTCCCAGTGCTCATTAAGCCAGAACAAAAATCAATTATTTATTCAAGTGTCCAGGAGAGAAAGTTTCTCTAACAAGAATATCAAGTACTTGCAATCAAGTATTTTAGCCTAGCTCAGTACTTGGTAAAGGACACCTGCAATCAGTTGTTAGCAATTTTGTTTCCACCTGAGATTGAAATTCTGTTAATTCTGCTAATTTCAGACTCACTGCCGCAGGTTGCAAAAGACTAATTTTCTTCCTGCCACATGCACCTAATAAAATCATCTTTATCAAAAACAATACAAGTAGATCCATCTCTCTTCAGTCATATAATGAAAATGTATCTGCATAAACCTTTGCAACAAACATTCTTATGTTTCCATAGCTTGTGGTCTGCATGTGGCCACATTGATGGTCAATAAAAGCACCGGATCGAACATATTGTACACAAGACAATCAATCCAGTTTTGTGCGCACGAGACTGAAGAGGTCAAAGACGAAAAGGTATAAAACATATGGATAAAGAGTACTGCATAAGTGATGAAACAAGTATGGTCAAATAGTAAACTGCTTCATCATGAACAGGCAAACTACTCAGCAAGTGATTTAGCATTATGTTTTCTGTTTAATCCATTCAGATTTAAATAGAAGACTCGGCACAAATTTTAGTCATTAAAACAGCTCAGTAATGTCAACCCAGTCCAAGAATAGAGTTTAATCATTAAAAATTTATTTCAGTGCTATTTAAAACTGAACTCAGACGAATCAGTTCCTACCTGCCCATCTTGACCAACGTGAACCTGATGTATCTGCAAGTTACCCTGTAAAAAAAGAATAACGATAATAAACACATACCTTGGAAATTAATACAGTAGGACTGTTTAAGGAAAATTGTTTTCAGTGCACTTAACTGTTCCCCATTCCATTATTTAACAAGTTATTGTAATTCACTCAAGGAAATCCATTAATTTAGGAAATTCTTCCGAAAGTCTGTATGCTTTGGCAGTAAAACTTAACTACAATGCCCTTGCACTTTAACCGCAGAGAATGGATGCTTTTTCTGTTCTAGAGATTCTTTTCAACCTAGAAAGTTCTTTTTTGGTGCTTTTCATGTGATGATTAAATAAAAAATCTGTTTGTGTGACCTCTACAGAGATAGATATTCTCTTCTCATATTCCCTTATTTTTATAAAATGCAAACATGCATAATTCAAAACATTTGTTATCCTAAAATTAGGGCAATAACTTTTTAAATCTTTGACTTGTATGAATTACAGCTTTCCTAATGGATATAATATATGTTATTACAAAGCTATCACTTGTGCTAACAACTTTTTTTTTTTTATTACTTTATCAAAACTCAATTGCAAATGTGAACAAAGGTTTCTATTATAAAAATTACAAAGACACCTCTTACAAAAGATTCTGAATGCTACAAGCCATTTGCAAGAAACCGTTAGCTATGAAAACTGAAAAGGAAAAAAGAATCTTCATTACAAAAAGCAAATGCTTTGCACTTTCAAACAGGGCCTTTAAAAGTATGTTTAAGTCAAGGGGGAAAAAAACACTATCCAAGATACTATAGGTACAAGAGGTGAAATGGCAAATTTCTCTGAGGAAATATACCAAGGTCTTTGAGTTTCTTATGCTTAATACAACTGGCAGTAATTCTGCTTTCTTTCAAAGTTGTGTACATTGGAATAAATTATAACCCAGATGTTTTCAGCCCACATGAACAAAAGATAGGCCTGCTCCTAAATCCTTATATACCAGACAACTCCCACTGAGGTCAGCAAAGCTTGGGTGTGTAAGAGTTCCAGGCTCAGCCCAGAACTCTACACCTCTCCTAAACCAGAATCATTTAGTGGCTCCAGACAATTATCATTAAGGAATCCAGCGTGATTATCACAAAGGCTACAGAGCTAGGCCATTCACATTCACACTAGATTCCTTAATGATAATTATCATTAAGGCTACAGAGCTATGCCATTCCCATTCACTTCCATTTCTCTTTACCCTCAGAGTCAACTCCTTAAAGGAGACTTTCTTTCAACTAAAACTGATTTTTACTTATAATAATATTTCTAGCATAAGGGTTCATCTGCACAGGGCAATGCCCTGGAATAACTCTTCTGCCATAACTTCCCCATGTGGACACTTGGCATGTGCTAAGCGTGCCTTTATAAAGTTTACTTTAGTCCATTTTGGAAATGGATTAAATACAGCATACAGGCTACAGCATAAAAAGGTACTCTAAAATGCAGGAGAGTGCTTACACAGAGTTGTTGCAAAACAGCTACTGCACTTTTCAGTTCTCATTCTAGGTTATTTACAGTACCTTTCCCACCTAATCAAGTCCAGAGAGCATAAGTAATTGGAGTGCAAACCCCATCTCAGGCTATGAAACACATTCCAAAACACACAGCAGCCAGCAATAAAGGTTTAACTTTGGCAAAATCTGACTGGCTCCAATGGGTGTTTTGCCTAAGTAATTCTGGAGTTATCAGTTTCCTTTTAGCTTCACTATTTTTAAGCTAAATTGTGAATGTTTCAATTCAGGGGGTTGCTAGAAGAGTAACGAAGGCAGGCAGAAACTGCTTCATTCTGTAAAATACCTGCATTACGAGGAAAATTTAAAATCCTCCCTGATCTGTTCTGCAGCTCTCACAATTAAAGATATTCCTAGGTGTTTTGAACACATTCTACATGGTGTGTATCCCCAATCCTTTTCTCTCTGAACTAACATACAAGCACAAAGATTGTACTCATTATTATAACCTGAAGACACTAAACTCTGCTTCCCATAAATCCCATTAAAAAGCACATCAGCTCTAAGCCACAATTTGCAAATAAAATATGCTGGCCAAGCAAAAACATCCAGACAGTAGAAATGTGTTGCATTTGCTGACGTTGAGGTCCGTTTCAACGTGGCTCTGTTGCATGCATTCAGTTCTGCTCTCACTGACAGTATTAGCTTCTCTTTGCAATCCTGAGAACAAGTTTCAGAAACATGGCCCTAATCTCAGCAGAGCTAGAAGGTTACATTTTGGCTTACCTCGCTGTCTTGCGTTATTTGGACCTGTTCGCCTTGAGGAACCTGGGCTATGTGGAGGTGACCCTGTGGGATCCGCAACAAAGAAAACAGCAAGAAGCATCAGAAGAAAATCAAAACTCAAAGAAGCTATCAGCTGAGATATAGTACAGCCTTACATATTCAACGCAGGGACAAGGTGGGGAGAGAAAAATCGTAACTCACTGAAATTCTCTTATGTGTGCAAACTGCTTAAAAAAATTAAGCATATCCACATGTGTCCATTCTTTTAGATGTAGTACCAATGGAAGAGTAAGTCCGATATGTAAAGCATTTAACTCACAAAAGGCAGGAAGAATAGACATGGGGAATGTACCGTGCCTTTCTTTCCAAAATTCTAAGTTTTAGCAGTTTTAAATGATTCACAAAACCTGCTGCAAACACATACATGCGCACACACCTTTTAAGTGCAAGCCAGGCAACATACTTCTGGGTATGGCGGCAGGATCAGACCTTAAGGTCTACATCAGTAATGTATAGGGATTACTTTTGCCACAGATGAAACGCAGCGGGGGCAAACATGATAAAAAACACAGAGTGGGAGGCTCTTAACATTCCCTGAAATAAGTTCAGTTCAAGACATTGTGAACTGGGCCCTCCATCTTTTTTACAGCAGATTCACTGACTACTAAACTAAAAAGGGATATTTAAGGAAATACTCAAGATTATCTAGAAAGCACAAGGGCTATTTGCTTCTATTCCACACAGGAGAGCACACAAACACCAGCAGACTCTCCCTCTGCCTGAAGAAGAGTGTTTGTGCCCGAAAGCTTGCAACGAACAATTTTTCCAACTATTAAGTTGGTCCAATAAAAGATATCACATTTACCTATATCTGCCATAAAGCACTGCACGCTCACCTGGATGAACACATGCATGCATCAAACTACACTAAAGGTCACATCTTCCGCTGGTGTAAATAGGAATTGCATCATTAATTCCAACGCAGCTATGTCAATTTATACATTGGAGTGACCCGGCCCTAAGAGTTTTAATAAGGTTGCTCCTTTATATCACAGATCTTAACACAACCACTTTAGAAAGAAATCAAGCATAACATTTGGAAGAAAAATATGGGCAAGGAAGTGAAGAAAGTCCTTGTGCATCCGGACTGGCCTAAAGAAGTCTTTGCTACTGCAATTTACCTGCTGGCACATTTGATTCTAAATAACCTACTTCAGGGCTTATAAGGCTTTGTTTTCATTTTAATATGCCTGTATGAAACGGAGATTAAAGATACCCATTTGGAATTCTGTCAAAGGACTTTCTTATTTTATAGCACAAGAACAATTGCATGTGAATTTCAAAGAAACACAGATCCCTCTATTTCAAACAGTTTCATTTCCTTTGGAAGGAAGCTGTCTATTTATAGGGAGAAAAAACATACTGAAAGTATCAAACTGACAATAGGGACTGTATATAAAATTAGAGCGCAGACCCAATCCATGTTGAGATTAGAATCATTTTCCCTTCTTAACATCAAGCTCTCAGGGCTCCCAGGGAAGAGCATTGAAAATTAAAAAGGGACAATTATGCCGTGTTTATGGTAGAGATAATTCTTTCAAGGATAAGGGGAAAAAAAGGTGACTTTGTTCACCTTTACACCATTCACCAGTCCAAGAAAAACCTGCTCGCTCATCCACTGCAGGTATACAGCCAGCCCTCAAGGCCAATAACTTCAGTTTGTTCACCTAAGCAATTCAAGCAAGAAAAAAAATAATAATATTTTTTGTCCCAACCCCCAAACAAAATTTATGGAGGCATTTGCAGTTCCTTGGCATCCAGTCCATTCCTAACACTACCTATTTCTGTCTTCACATTTTCTGTACAAATATTTTTGAGCCTGAATGTGGAAGCACTGGCAGTACTAAAACCTAAAGGCCATCAGCAATTCATGCACCCTGTACAGGGCATTTAACTGCAAATGTACTTTGCCCTATTAATGACCTGAAGCTTGATCTATGCAGATTGTTCTCTACAAGCAAAAAATGTCATTTCTATCCAATGCAGCCCAGGGCCAATATGACAACAACGGCTAGATACAGGCTGCAACCTCCCCATAGGTTTAGCAAACTTCAGTTTAAATTTAAATTATGATGCCAGAGATTCACATTTATCTCTGCGTAGTAAGCTCTCAACTTTACATGCATTTAGGTAGGCATTTTGTCTATACACCTTCTAACAGCGATTTGCATTTCTATTGTGTCCTTCACCAAAAAAAAGCCCCAAAAAGATTTACGTACATTTTTAAACCTCACAAATATCCTGTGAGATGGGTCAGATTAATACACTTGCTTTAAGAGATGGGGAAACCAAAACATGGTAATCACATTGCAAAACAGTGGTGGAGTTGGGAATGAAAACCAATGATCCTACCTCTCAGGTTATGGTAAAAGAACCTTGTTTCCTCAATGGGAGGATTGTCTCTCGAGTAACTGCATGCCAAAAGTTATCCCCACCCCTCGAGTGCAACTCCAAACCACTACCTGCGCCCAATCTGCTGCTCTACTTTCTACTTCTGCCCTGTCTGCCACTGCGCTGGTGGTCCCTTCCCTGATCTGGTGTGTGCCACATACAGGCTACCCATGCCACTTTTAGCACGCATGCCAGAGGTTGGCCACCCCGGCCTAAACAACCTAGATCCAAAAAGAAAGTGGATATAATCCCTCAAGGAAAGCAATGAGTCTGTGATACACTGCTGCTTAGAGGCAAGAGACCACTCTGGAGAAATGTAGGATTTGCAGCCCTGAATCACTAGCTTGATCCTGACACTTCAAAGAAACCCTCATATGTCCACAGTGACATCTAACCAGTTGTGCACTATTCAAGAAGTGAGACAGATCCTCACAGGGAAGCAGTATCACTTTTAATTTATTCTGCAATATAATTATCTGACTCCTGTGTACAAAGCACCCCATCTCAGTCCTCTTTCTAGCTCCTTTCCAATCTGGCTCCTGCACTTTGCACGCCCTTGAAACCACTGCCATCAGCCTCTCTAAGGACCTCTTCCAAACTTCAGAACCAGTACATTATTTTCATCCTTGACCTGCCAGCTGCCTTCAGCTATGTTGGCCATGCTTTTCTTCTCGTCTTCCCATGGCTTTCACAGTGCTCCTCTCCAGATTTGTCTTCTCTAATCACTCACTCTGCATGTCCTTTGGAGGAGCTACGGATTTTACATGGCTCTGTGCTTGGTGCCCATGTCCTCCACTTACTTCTGGGTGCTCTCATCCATAGACACAAAGCCATCTACCATCTCTATGCAGATAACTCAGACAGCAGTACCCATGGCATTGGCATTAAAAAAGGAAGTAGCAAGGGGATTTAGTGGAAAGTTTTAGATCTGTTAGCTATCTTAAACTTGGTTAAGCTGGCACTAGACAGCCACGAGATGGCAAATGGACAAATTAAGATACTATTTTGGACTGGAAGAGACAAGTTAACCATCCTGCCTGTAACCTGAATGTCATATTTGACTCTAGAGACTCGCACCCAGCCTCTCTCTAAGCAGTTCCAATTCTTTCCGCATTGTAT